GTGGCCTTCGGAGATCCGGAAGCACTCCATGATCCCGAGCCCGCCTAGCCTTCCCGATCGGCCTCGTAGATCCCCCAATGCCGGACGCGGCCACGTTGGAAATTGGAGTCCAGTCGAAGTGGGTGCAATGTTCTTGTTTCCTAAGAGCCGTGTCGAGTGCCAAAATTCATTCTCTGCTCACCAGAACCTGAGCGGTTGCCGTCTTTACCAAGCCGTGGGCACCAAGGCTCCTCATCGAGACCACCGCTAGAACATGCTGCTCCTCGGGGCCGTCGGATGGGTGGCCGGGCTGGCTGATCAAGATCTCGCCACTCTTCTGGGCCCAGTCGGCCCCGCTGAAGGTTCTCTCATCCTTCTCTGGGTCTGGAGGCCTTGGCTCCTCTTCATCAGCAACGAAAGTGACTGAAGGGAACGCGTCGTTGTCGGCATTGTCGTGGAAGTACGTGGATCGTCTTCGATCGTACCCCTTGGGGGCAGATCTTCATTACCTGCCACGTGCATTTAGTGCAGACCCTAAAACAAGGGAAGAGAGGACGGGTGGAAGGGGGAGGGAGAAGAATGGAACACGAGAGAAATTAGCAGGAGGGGGGCACGGAGCAGAGAACAAGTGGTAGAACCAGACGGGCATGTCGGGTGGGCAGACCCATAGCGGGCAGGTCGGGAAGGCGGCCCCAGGCGACGAGGTCGAGCAGGCGGGTTGCTGAAGCGTGGGTCCTGCATGAGTCGCGAGGTAGCCGCGAGCAGTAGCGCGATTTCCAAATAAATCGTGAGACACGCCAGAGCGAGAGCGTGATTCCTGAGCGCCGAGGGCGCATCGTCGGAATCAATTGCGAGGAATTCCCACGCGAGAGCGCGATGCGTACATGAATTGTGAGGAAGTCCCGCGCGAGAGCGCGATTTGGGAATACATTGTAAGGACAAGTCCTGCGCGAGAGTGCGATTTGGGAATAATTTGTGAGGAAGTATCAGGCGCGAGCTATTGTTGTTGTAAACCAGGGCCAGGGGCCCAGTTTGAGCCGAGTGACTTTCCGTGATAAAAGACAGGGTGCGAGCCCCGGGGGAAGCATTTCCATTGAAAAACACAATGGCCACCGGAGGGGGGATCAATCATATTTATTTTTCAGTAGCGAGAGTTCAACAACAACAACAACAACAACAACAACAACAACAACAATCATTTTACCCGAACGCTCAGTGTTCTCACCAGTGCCAGGGTTTTCATGCGACGCGAGACAATACCCCCACTTCGTGGGGGGGCAGTTCAAGCTCTACCAAATATCCAAACGACTCTTCGCGACCACCCAAACCCAGCTTCCCGCCCTATGACGTTGGGACACTTCACTTCGTGGCGTGCGGACGACCGTGGCTACTACACTGGCGTGGGGTACACACCCACAGAACTTGGTCACTTATTCGGGGCGCGCGTGTGCCCAGCATCCTGCAATTGTGACATACAATACATGACACAGACAGACAGAGAGAGAGACAGAGAGCAGACAGAGAGAGAGACAGAGAGAGCGGAGTTGGTCACATTTTTGGGGCAAGTTCCTGAGATCGTCGTGTTTTTTGTTGGTCTTGCGCGCGCGAATGTCCACTTTACTTTTTTTTGCAAGGGAGTATTGAAATTTGATTATGTTAGAACAAGAAAAAGTAGCTCGCGCGAGCTCATGTAACATAAATGTTGAAAAACCATTGGTTTTGTGGGAGTCGGACAGCGCGCGCGGGATGAAATTTGGACATTTTTTTTTGAAAAACCATTGGGTTTTTGATGTTTTTATGTTGAAATCGTTACGAAACCTAAGGTTCTGGAAGGATTTCGTCTTGCGCGCGCGAATGTCCACTTTACCTTATTTTTTGCAAGGGATTATTGAAATTTGATTATGTTAGAACAAGAAAAAGTAGCTCGCGCGAGCTCATGTAACATAAATGTTGAAAAACCATTGGTTTTGTGGGATTCGGACAGCGCGCGCGGAAGGACATTTTGACAATTTTTTCTTAAAAAACCATTGGGTTTTTGATGTTTTTATGTTAAAATCGTTACGAAACCTAAGGTTTTGGAAGGATTTCGTCTTGCGCGCACGAATGTCCACTTTACCTTATTTTTTGCAAGGGATTCTTGCAATTTGATCAAATAAGAACAAGAATTTTCATTTTATAGTGTTTTTTGCAAGGGAAAACGGGGGGGAACAAAACAACCGGATCCGGACATAATCCACTTTTCTGAAGCTTCTGCGAAAAAATGATGAAAATGTAGCTGCGGCCTAGGTTTTGGAGGGGGGTCGCGCACCAGGGGTCCCAACAATAATTATTCTTAAGAAGAAATAATGTTCAACAACAACAACAGCACCAACAACAACAGCAGCAGCAACAACAACAGCTCCCGCCAGATACCTCCTCACAATGTATTCCCAAAGCGCGCTCTCGCACGGGACTTCCTCACACTTTATGCAGAAACCGCGCTCTGGCGTTCGACTTCCTTCGTAATTTATTTGCACGCCGCGCCCTAGACACTGAGGAATCGCGCTCTCGTTTTGGACTATATCACGATTTACTTTGGAATCGCGCTATCGCTCGGGTTCTCCTTGCGGTTCTACAGGACGAACGCTTCAGCAACCCGCGTGCTCGACCTGGCCGCCTGGGTCCTGGGCCCGCCTTATCGGCCCGCCCGTTAGGGTCTATCCGCCCGATCTGCCCATCTGGTTCTGCCACGTGCTTTTTGCTTCCAGTCCCCCTGCTACCCTCTCTCGTGCTCCATCCTTCTCCTTCTCCCTTGTCCCTTCCTTCCATCCGTCCTCTTTTCCCATGCCTCAGGGGCTGCACGAAATACACGTTGTAGGTAAGAAAGATCCATACCCCCAAGGGGGTACGATCGAAGACGAAGATGGCGGGTATTGGGGATGTGGGTTTTACGTGATGTATGGCACGCGAGCAGAAAGAGCGAACAGTCTGAAAATGATTATTGTTGTCGTTGTCCCACTCGCGACCCGGCCCGCGACCCACCCCGCGACCCGCTTTCGAGCCACCAGCGACCCACTCGCCCTCCACCCTGGAGCCACCCGCGACCCACCCGCGACCCACCCGCGACCCTCTTGCGACCCACCCGTGACCCACCCGCAATCTTCCCGCGACCCACCCGCGACCCACACACGGACCCCCCGCGACTCACCCGCGACCCACACCGCGCCCGCCCTCTGACTCTTTTTCGCATCTGCGGGGTGCTATACCACACGTGATCTCAGTGCGCAAGAGTCGTCACAGCAACTCCAGAACGAGTTTCGCCTGTAAGCCAAGACGGCCACGAAGAGGGAGAGGGAGGGAACAAGGGAAGAGACCCACCCCACCCCATTAGGTAGGGCATGGGGGCACCCCATGACCGTCTGAGCATACTTAGATCTAAGCGTGATCGAGTCTGAATGCGAGCGGCTGAGGATGAGTAAGTCTGGACGGGAATGAGCTTAAGCACAGGCGGTTTGGCACCATTGACAATGAGTATGAAGGGGTATTGGTGTGAGTGGGTCTGAATATGAGTGAGTCTTGGTGTGAATGAGTCTGAGTGTGAGAGTGTCGGAATAAGTCTACTTCGAGAGGACGTCTCAATCTGATTGGGTCTGTGTGTGAGTAGGCGTGGGTGCGGACGGGGATGACAAGTGCACAGTACGTCCTTATTCAGCGCGTCTAATGATAGCACGATGGCGGAGCACGTACTTGTGTTCCCTCGCCCAGGTGACTTGTGGTGCGGGCCTATTGGCGTCCCCGATCGCTGACCGTGCTGCGGTAGCAGCGGCTTGCGCGCTTGGGTTTGGCACCGCGCCCTTCTGAAGCCAAAGCCGCGAACCGAAGCCGAAGTGCGCGTCACCGAGTTGTCCCGGCCAGCCAGCTCCCCCCGCACCCGTGGCAAGCTAAGTCATTGTCGGGGCACACATCTCACGGCAGCGACACAGGATTATAATAATTTCGCATGGTCAGGGGGATGCAAGTTTCTCTATCCTGTTCGGTATGCTCAGGTTTCCGATTGCCCTCAGAGGTCGTATCGAATGTTGTGTCGTTGCGGCAGAAGCTCAATTCATGCCCGAGCTGGATCAAGAGTGCTATTATCCATCTGCCTGCGGCAAACCCCGCCAGCGGCAAACCTCGCGTCCTGCCCAAGCAGGCACAATTCTTATACACCCCTCTTTATCCGCAGAGACTCGTTCCCCTCCTTCTCCATCCTCTTGAGGGCATGTTGCGCGTTTGTTGTGAGCTTCTTCGGGGTTGTTGTGGGCATGCCGGGGGTCTCAGGGCCAGCTTGGGCGCGTTGGTATGACCCGGCTCTCCCGAAGAATTTAGGCTGGACCATCTTGGAGGCGGTGGGTCTTGGGGCCGTCTTGGGGCGGTCTTGGGCCGTCTTGGGGGTGGTCTCGGACACTCTTGGGGAGCGTATTGGGGCCCTTGTGGCCTTAGGCCCTGATGGGCTTCTCGGGGCTCTCTGAAGCTTTTTCGAGGCGAGCTGACGCCAAAAAGTCTCGGATGCAGAAACATTAACATCTAGTTTGTGTTTGGTTGTGTTTCTCTGTGCGGGGCTCGACAGGGCGTCTTGGAGCTGCTTGGGGCCGCTTCGGAACATATTGGAGTCTGTGGACGGGTTTGGACCGTCTCGGGCTGGTGCAGCCGTCTTGGAGCGGTTTCGGGCCGTCTTGGAACCGTGTAGACAAAGCCCGAGAAGGGCACCAGAGAGCAATCCGTGGAGGTTGGCTTGGGGGGACTTTGAGTCCGCCCCGAGGGCGGGATCGACACTGAAGAATTTCACAAAACTAGCAGACAATTCCTAATCATTTCAATCTTCCTGTACCGTGCAAGCACGGTGACGGACTGCGTTCGGTGAGTTGAGCAGGGCTTCTTATGCATTTCACTACAATCTCATTCCGGATCAGGAGCACAACCATTTCATTGCCAGGATCCTCGGGAAAGATCCTGATTCCAGCGCTTTGGACCCGACTACGTTCGACACTTACACCACTGGCATGGTGGTGGTCATCGTGCACCTCACCCAGCGAAGCTTCAGCGGGTCCAAAAAGCCGCCAAGCAAGCGCATCGCGCTGCCGAGCTCGCAGCAGTTCCTTGACAGGAATATAGTATATAGCTTTATCGGGTTGCCGACGAATGACATCGACACCAACAGCGAGAGCCTCGACAGCGGGCAAACGTGCGGCATCGACGCGATCCGTCAGCTAACCTTGGTGGACGACCTCGACACGGGAAAGAACACATGGGACAGAGTCATGGGAACATTGCCAGGGATCTCATCGCATTGCCCCTTCAAAGAGCGCCAGAGGACCTGCACGAAGAAGGAGTTCGTGCGGGGAGTGTACCTCAACTACACCACTAAGGATGGGGACCCTGCGTATCCAGCGGAGATGATTGATTTTGCCGGACTCTGGCACATGGCGGACGGCAGGTGGTCAGACGATGCCGAGAATTTCCTGGCGTGGGAGCACTACGGCTCGCACCGCATCGAGGCCGTTCCTGCCGGTTCACGGGAGGCCGCGGGTGGCGCGGCCTTCAGAATTGTCACGTCCGATCTCGGAAGTCTGGACGTCCGCCCAGGCTTCTCGCGCGTCGGGGCCGATATGTTTTTCAACGGGGCGGGGGAGCCGACGATGATTCGCACGCCAGACGGTCAGGACGTCTGGAGGGCAAAGGCGGAGTCAGCGACGTGGCAGTATTGGAAATTCGTATTTCGCTCCTCGCTCTTCCTCAAGGTCACGCTCGTGGACCACCTCTGGGCCACGCACTTCACGGCGGCCAACTCCATGGCCGCGGCGGCGCGGGAGTCGTTGAGCCCCACTCATCCGTTGAGGCGTTTGTTGACCATGTTCACGTTCAACACGATCCAAGTCAACTCCAATGCGTTCCACCAGCTGCTGGGTCCGGACGCCCTTCTCCAGCGAAGCACACCTTTTTATGATTTCCGCGAGGTCTCGCTGCTCGCAGAGGTCGCCATCACTCCGCTGACGAAGTCCTTCGGGTTCTTCCTGGACGAGACGGTCAGGAGTGCCATGCCCGCCCGAGTCCAGGAGACGCCCTACGCTCAGGATGGTCAGCTCATCTTTGACGCGCTGCAGGACTTCGTGGCGAGCTGGTTTGACCTCTATGGTGGCCGTTGGTGCTCAGGCGGTGCCGTCTCGGACCCAGCGATGCTGTTGTTCTTCGAGCGCGTGCAGGCGTGGTCGATGTATCAGCAGCACGCGGAGGTGGATGCGTCATTCTTGGGACTACGCGATGGGGACGGGGGCCTCCAGTGTGCGGGGCTGCAGAAGTGGCTAACCATGCTGTTTTTCCAGGTTCCTCCTTTAAATAAACAGCGTATGCCCTCACTGGTGGAAGTAGGGCTCACACTCCACTGTGGCGACGAGGGGCGCCCCCGAAGGCCTGGACAACGAGGAGAAGGGAGAAGGGAGAAGGGAGGAGGAGGAGGTGGAGGAGGAGGAGGAGGATGAGGAACAGGAGTATGGAGGAGGACATGCGCCCTCTTCCCGACGCTGTTTTCGTTTCACGGCATCGGCCCTCCGTAGCTGTCAGCCTCATCCCTAGGACCGCTGTTCGTTGAAACTTCCATCCCCCAAACAGCCAATATTGTAAGAGGTCTGCATTGCATTGGGAGAACCCGCTTCTATAAAACAGAATCCCCCAAAGTCCTTCCGCCAGCATGCCGCGCGATGTCGTGCCGTGCCCAGGTTGCAACATCCGAGAATGTGCTGTGCCTGACGCGCCATGCCTAAGTTCGAGAAGGCGAACAGTGTGTCCTGCCGTGCCGTGCCCACTAGCCGCGCGCCGTGTCATAACGTGCCCTGCCTGTGTCCTGGAATGCGAACAGCGTGCCGTGCCGTCCCATGCTCGGCTTTTTGCGGCAGTGACCGCCTACAACCAGCACGCTCCCCCTCCCTGGCCTCCTCCTCCTCCTCCTCCTCCTCCTCCTCCTCCTCCTCCTCCTCCTCCCTCCTCCTCCTCCTCCTCCTCCTCCTCCTCCTCCTCTCCTCCTCTCCTCCTCCTCCTCATCCTCTCCTCCTCCTCCTCCTCCTCCTCCTCCTCCTCCTCCTCCTCCTCCTCCTCCCCACTCCTACTCACTCCTTCCACCATGGCTGTTCTCATCATGCAGCGTTGCTGCTTGGGGCTTCTTTGCGCGGTGCGACTTTGGAGCAGGGCCGTTGACGTCCGAAGTGCCAGAAGCATCGGCCGCCGAGCTTTCTTTTCAGCGACGCCCGGAGCTCTGGGCTGCATCTGAAAGCCATTTTGGGGCCCTTGAGATCTTCGGATGTCTCCATAAGCCTCCTCAGCAACTGCGTGCAGATGGCGTGCATATGTCCAGAAACTGCGTCCGGCAACCCGCTCTACCGCGGGGGCGTTTGAATGTTGGATATTGGATGTTGTTGAGCGCTCCAACCGCTCAACAACATCCAAACGCCTCGATCTCCGAGCCTCGTTCCCAGAGCTGGCGTCTAAGCTGTCCCAACTTGTGGTCCCTGGACCTCCCGACTCCTTCACCAGCAGAGCTGGGATTTCATCCTGAATCGTCTTTCTGATGGCCCTGAGGGCAGGAAATAGCGCCCGGAGGCAGAAATTGCGAAGAACATCCGCTCTGTCTCTTCAGAGTGTTGGAGGTCCGGTCCTTCCCCTGCTTCGGTATTCCAGGGTTCGATCTTCGACCCACGATCAGCGCCCCAACAACTAGGACACTGGCAGCAGGACTTCGCGACGTACAGCTGGGGAAGACGAAGAAAGGTTAATGTTTCGATCCGTAGCAAGCAGTGGCGAAGCGTCCAGGCTCGCTCATAGGCCCACCAAAGAATGTTCTAAGAAACTTTCGTGGTTTGCACGAAATATTATTAGAACCTTTCCGTCTGGGACTGTCTTGTTTCGTCACATCGGGCTTGTGTCCTAAGAGCATTGTCTGGGTTCGAAGAGCTTATCGTAGTAGGATGTGGGGATGCCGGGACGGTCGGCCCCTGCCCGATCCATGGCTGCAGCTTCCTCGGGCGTGCCAGTGCCTTTGTTGTGGCACAGTCCCCGCTCACGAGGCCCTGGCCCCCCAGACAGCCCACGTCACGGCTCTGCCGCGGCGTTGTTCCTTGGAGATCGTGGCCCTTCCCCTGGCGAGCCAGTATCGTTCAACCGACCCCCATCCCCATGCTCATCCCCTTCGAGACCCCCACCAAATTACCACCCCAGTTGGGGATACACCCATCGAAACCCAAGGGAACGGCCTAATCCCCATCTAGGGGGGCAAGTCGTCCAGTAGGGCCCAGACCACGCCGCTGGGGATGGGGATCGGTTAAACGATGCTCTGTGAGGAACTTTGTATCTTAAGTCGCTTTTGGACGGCCCTGCTTGGATGCCCACGGCGCTCGGTTAAGGGTTAGTTGATTGACTAGATGTTACGAGCCAGCCACAGAGGTTAGCTAAGCACTCTGCTAAGCGAGCTGTCACGTACTTAGCTAGGTTGTGCACAACCTATTCAGAACTTGAATCATAAGTTGTTCGCTGTTGGCTAGCCCAAGGGTTAAGTGTTCCGCGGCGTTACTGAGTGATGTACGAGCCGATGTAAAGCGACGTGGCAAAGTCACTTATAAGATTTACTAAATGATCAGTAAATCATTGACCATACCGGTAGCCGTTGACATTACGTTGGCGAAACCTATAACAAGTAATATCGTTTATTGTTCCGGTGATCGCCAGAAAGGTGTTCGCAAATTCTTGTGTCGTTCCGTTGTTTTAAACGTTGGTCACGAATGTGAAACGACTATGCGCGTCTGAGGTAAGTGTTATGCCATAGCATATGTAGCGATTGGGGTCGGGGTGTCACATGAGATGTGCGTGGGGCTTTTAATGTATGTTGCGTTTCGTGTCTTCTTGCATGGCAGCTTGTTGTAGCGGTCAGTTCTCATTCGGCGGCAGACGGGCATTTATGGCTAACTCCAGAGTTCAATGTGGCAGCGCTGCGTTTCAGGCCTTGTATACGCGCCGCAGCGCGGCAGAATTGAACATGCATGTTCTGATGCTGTAGCGCTGCATGCCCAAAACTGAATGCTTACTTACACCTCTCAAGTGCGCCCTGCGCTGCATCGCGGGGACGCGTTTGCGCGACAATTCTTGTGAATGTTGGGCTGAGCCTAGCGACGGCCTGCATGTTCGCGCCCCCGCGCGAAGTTGCAGCTCGAGGCCGCGCAAGCTTTAAACTAGGCGCCGCGGCGTTAGAGACTCCACGGGACAAGCTTGCTGCAGCGAGTGTTGCCCGCACCCCGCAGATCCAGGAGGCTGCGCCCATGCAGATGTGTCCTCCGCTAACCACGGTGGCCGCCTTGTGCCGGGCTGGGGCCCCATGAGAGTGCGCCTGCTGAGAAATGTTTGCGCATATGCCGCAGGCGCCCCCGCCGAATGCGGGCTGCGCCCTTGAGAACCGCAGCTGTGGATTGGCCAATCCTACCAGGGCTCACAACTTTCAGAGCGCAACTCGTTGCCCAGGGTTTCCCAAGGTTTTGCCTTCTCCAAGACGCTGAACGTCGCGGCGCCGCAAGCCCCCCGCGACAAGACCGGGTGCGACGAGGCCGTCGCCGCGAGCGAGCGGCCGTCGCGGCTGGGTTGAGGGCGCTGCCCTCCGCGCAGCGAGATGCACTTCGTCTCGGTATGATGGCTCGCACACCAGCGCGTCCTTGAGGCACGCGATCTCCGACGCACTCGCGTCGGCCAAGGCGCTCGCGGACGGGCGCGGCTACATCGACAAGGGCCGCTTGCTGGCGCCCCGGCCAGAGGCGGCCGAATCTTGCAACGGAGGCCTCGCGTGGCGCGTCATACAGGACAGAGCCAACGTGACGGGCTTACAACGGATCGCGCGGAGGGCACTGAACGTCGACGCGCGCGGGGCCGCGCGCGAGACCGAGACCGCACGCAGTGGCTGCAGCCGTTTCGTTTGGCGATGTCGATGGCGATGCGGGGCGATGCAGCATGGGATGCACAGGGCGGCTCGGGGCGGGGATCGGGAAAGCGATGTGTTGGCAGGCAGTTGAAGGGTGCATGTATGTTCGGTGTTGCGATGCACTCGTTTGACGCTTGCCGCATCGGGCGAGCGGGCGCTCCTGGCCCGCGACCTCGCCGAGGGAGTCGCGAAACCAGGTTGGAAAAGCATCGTCACGGAGGTGGCCCATGCGAAAGCGCCAAGTTCGTCGTGGGTCTCGGACCCAAGTTGGCAGCGCTGACCCCTACGAGCGAGGGCCCTTGCGCGAGATCGACAAGGCGGAGAAGACGTTCACGACGGTGGAAGCCACAGGGCAGACCATGATACGATTGCAGTTCTGGAGAATATCAGCGCCATCAGGCGGGGCAGGCACAGCGAGGGCCCCCCCTCCGTGGTCGCGAGCCTCACCAAGGCTAACTACTCGGGCTCGCTGCTGGTGCATTTCATAATCGCGCCCCGTCTCGTCGTCGCCGTGCCCGCGCGTGTTTGTTCCAAGGTGCTGCAGTACCTTCCCTCCGCGGCCATTGCGACAGCGCGTTATCCTGTGGCGCCGCAGCGCCTTTCTGGAAGCATGCAGACGTAAGCCACTGCACGGCATCGGCTTGCAGTGCTGCACCGCCCACTTGCGCAGATGTTGCACCCGCCGATCGCGGCCGCAGCTGCTTCTTCCGCACAGCGCCAGACTCGTGACGGCACTCTGACAATCCGATCGTTGGATTGAAAACGTGTTTTATAGGTGTAACGCATGTTCTAAAAATGTTTCGGACATGCGTTCACGTACTCAAAATCATGCTTGAGACATGTAGGCATCTGGAAATGATTTGGTGGCATGCTCCCCCTCCATTCATCGACTCCCACATCGGATCGTTTCTCGGGGCAGACTTGGCCCATTGCGCTGCGGCGCACCGCGGGCGGCGCGGCGCCAGGGAGCTGCCGCCACGGTGGCAGCCCCCAGCGCCAGGGGCAGCCCCACCTGCCCCTCTTCCAGCGAGCAGCCGCACCTGCCAAAGACCACTCGACAGCAATCGCGGGGTGGCCGCGCACGATCCAGATTTGGCCGCGAGGTGCATGTTGTATCGCTTTTGACCGGGACGGTGGCCCTGCGCGCAACAGGAAATATGTTGACACCCCCGCCGCCCGTGTGAAACAAACCATACAAATTGTTCGATGGCCCTACGAAAAGGACCCAAAACTATGCCCCAGCGTGTGCGTTGTATTTTTCTGACAGGGTTGGTGGGGGGTGGGGGGGGCGCATCGGATCGGTTGCGCATGCTGGGAATTGGGAAGCAAACCGTGTTCTGTATTGTTTTGTTGCTAGTCGCCTGAGAGCAG